ACCCGGCGTATGTTAGCGGATTCTGCTTTGGTGGCTGAAGAGCTCTGGTTTGTTGTTATCTCTTTAATTAGGAATTTTAGTGTTGTTATGAAATTGTTGTTAATGTTGTTATTTTGTGGTGATTTTGAAGGTGGCAAGCCTTAGATTATGCTCGATTGAATCACAGTACGATTTCTTTCTTCAATGTTCCTCAACCGGAGACGGCGGTTTCACGGTGGAATCGTATAACTATAAATGCTTCTAAGGTAGCCTCACTATTTTAATTTCTAAGATAAAAGCATATATTTACTAAATTGGGAGTACTTTTGGGATTTGTGGTTCAAAACACTCTCTAAGGTAAAGGAGAAATTTTAAAGTTCAATTTATTTTTAATCATAGTTGTTGACGATCATGAGCTCCGGAGGCAGAGCTATGGTGGTGTGGCGTAAATTACACTATATTTGAAAGCCTTTAAAATCATAGACGTGTAGCATAGTGACAAGGTATGCTCATAACTGACATGACGCCCAGGTTCAAATCCATGTAGAGTAACTGCACACACAAAGGCGAAGCCACGATTAAGAGCTTAGAGGTTCTTGAAGAGATCGTGGTTAGGATTAAGGTGGGTTCGGATCTACAACTCTAGTGTTTCCCAGTCACTTCTTTATCATTAAATCGGGTTCATAAGTTAATATACATATATATTTATTTAATTTTCTAGTAAAAATACTGGCTGTACGACTACTGAATTCGTCTGAATCCACGAGCCCCTACCTTGCTCCGCCTGTGGTGCACACAAGAAGTGGGAAGGATGACTCCTCTACCAAAGTAAAAAAAATTAAAAAATCATTATAACTTTTTTCAGACGGATTAAAAAGTAAAGTGTGTCATGTAGATTGGTTCTAAGGGTAGTAAAATTTTCTCTCATTATTAGAACAAAAAAAGAAAAGGTGTGCAGTAATGGCCTACACTTAACATGGAACAACCTCTACTTTAGCTATTGAATGATTGAATTGTGACAAGTTTGGATTTATTAATTGGAATATTGGGTGAGTCACTAAACAGTCATGACCCAATCTACAGTTCTTGACACCCAAAAAAAAACCCAAAGAGGGGTCTTTTCTACAAAAAATGGAGTGGTTAAAATTACTGAAAGAGAAATATGCACTACAAGCCAAATCCAGAAAGAGAAAGGAAATGTTTTTAAAAATAATTGAATAGTGAGAAAGTGATGCACACCAAATCAAATAAAAAAGATATTCTTCTCTTTATAGATAAAAATATAAAATTTGTGATCAGCGTAGCTAGAAGAATATTAGCATGTAAAAAGTTGATGGTGACAAACAACAACTTCTCAGTTCCAATCAAGTCGAGGTCGTCTACATGAATCCCCCTTTCATTTAAGCTAATTTCGTCGCCTCATGTAAAAAGCTAATCAATTTTAATTTTTGTTTGACAATTTTCTTAGCTCAAGTTAGTTAAAACTTTTTAAGGTTAATTCTATATACGTTTTGTCCAGGTTGGTAAGGGATTGTCTAGAGATGGAAAAGCCCAGAAACTAGCTTTTCAGCACTGGATTGAGGCAGTGAGTCACTTCCCACTGCTACTTTAATTGAATGTGCCCCATTAACATCTTTGATGCTTGTATTTTTCTGACCTTAGTTTTGTGGTAACTGTAGATTGATCCACGCCACCGTTATGGGCATAATTTGCACACGTACTATCAAGAATGGTGTAAAACTGATGCTGGTCAGCCATTTTTCTATTGGTAAGAAAGCTGAATGCTGGAATTGGTACATCACAAAATCTGTATGGTATATATTGAGGTGGTAAATAATGGGGGATGACAGCTCTATCCCATAATTTTTGGGTTGAAACCTCATTTTTGTGTTCTTTTTTACTGCTTCTGGTTTTTCCTGGCTTTGCTTTTTAGGATCCGTTGCAATTTTTTGCGTTTTTCTTAATGGTGGAATTCATGACTAGTGACGATCATTACAAAGGGCGATGTGCTAATTCTTGGAGAGAAATATCGATATATTGCTTATGTAGCTTTCCCTTTATACTTGATTAATAAGGTTCTAGAAAGAATTGCTAAAGAGAAACACTCCAGAAATTGATATATAGTCCTACTAAAATGAATAATATTAAAATATTAGTGGAACAGTTTGTTTTTGATTTGCATTCGCGTCAATAAGATATAATCTACATAAATGCAAATGTATTTCGATATTAGTGGTAATTCCATGTATTACTGATCTAATATGTAGAGGAAGTTGAGACATTAATTTACTGCTTGGGCTGTGTTGACTAATCTTGTGCTACTTCAGTATGAAATCTAGAACACTGCGCGTTGTTGAGTTCTGTTTTCATTTGACTGCAGTTTTTGTTTATATGGATAAGGCAACATGATTTAAGAAGTTACTTGTAAGAAAAAATCAGCAGTAACTTATTTTCCGGAACATGTGCAGGTTGGATCTTGGAGATGGCAAAAAGGTTGAGCTCAAAGAATGTCCGAGATCTAAGCTTCAGAAACAAAGTATCAAGTATCTTGGACCTGTATGTGCTAACTCTTTTGTTACTTATTGCAATGCAAATCACAATGTTTAGCATCAGCATACAAAATGACTTCTCATATCTATGCGCTGATGTTGGTTTGTCTTTAGTGATACATGTGATTTGCTCTATCGTATACCATGTGATATTAATTTTACTTCTATTGCATTGATTGATATAGTCATGCAGCTCCTAATTGCTCTGTTATCTTTCTGTTATCAGCAAGAGAGAGAACATTATGAATATGTAGTGGCTGAAGGGAAAATACTTCATAACCTCACTGGAAATCATCTTGATACAACCAATGGGTTACCAGGGGCAAAGTGGATTTTTGTAATGAGCACCTCAAAGAGACTGTATGCTGGAGAGGTGAGTGGTAAACATTACTACATAAATGCTCTAATGATGATTATCCTGCAAATTGGTTTTCCTCTGTTAACGCAGAAGTTTTGTTATTCTTATGCCTTTCAGAAGAAGAAAGGAATATTTCATCATTCCAGCTTTCTTGCTGGTGGGGCTACTTTAGCTGCTGGAAGACTAGTGGTAAAGGATGGGATACTTAAGGTAAGTATCTGTTACATCGTTTTACTATCTTTAGATTGCATATGCCTGACTTTGAAACTATGTCGAGATCTAAATGCAGGAGTCATTTATTCTCAGCTTTATGAAACACTAGTTATGTCTATGGAGTTGAAAAACACTTTCTGCTCCACATTAATTTACATATAGTGAATAAAAAGCTCTATGAAGAGAAAGTTGCCATCCTTTTTGTTTCCATAGATTTTCTCAAGCCTTATTGTTCTGATGTTATTTTTGCACATGGAATATGGACAATTCCACCTGAATCATAAGCGTGTAGCTTGAAAGCCACTGTTTAGGTTGCACACTGCTGTGCTCTGACATTTTATTTTTTTTCAGTCTATTTCAGCATATAGTGGGCATTATCGGCCAACTGATGATAGCCTCAACAGCTTCTTATCATTTCTGAAGGAAAATGGAGTCAACCTGGATGAGGCTGAGGTTAGTGATTTCTGTGTCTTTTGTTCGTCCAGATTACTTTCTTACTGCTATAGTCTATGAATAATTGTGATTAGTTATCCCATTCTAAATTGAGTTAATACTCGTCCATTTTATCTATTATCAGATAAAAAAGCCAAGAGATGATGATGAGAGCTATGAAGAGGGAAAGTCATCTGAGAGTAACTCTGCGTCTGATCTTTCAACTATATCAGAATCCCTTCAAATTGATTTACCGAAGGAAGAGGAAAAAGACTTGTCAGGATTAGTGATAAATCCACAAGCTGAAAAGGCAAGTAACAACTATAAGAGAACACTCTCGGGTGGTCTTGAGAGCCCGAGAGCTGAGGTGCCAAAAACTGCAATACTGCAAAGGATTAATTCAAAGAAGTTATCAAAGTCATATCAATTGGGTCATCAACTCTCCCTGGCATGGTCAACAGGTGCAGGTCCGAGAATTGGATGCATTAACGACTACCCGGTTGAACTAAGAGAGCAGGCCTTAGAACTGACACACCTCTCACCAAGACCTCGTTCTGCATCATCAACTCCTAGGCCGATTGCTGCAATGGTATTGTAATGCAATGCACTTCCTGAAAAGCCTTTCGATCTTTTCTGCAAACAAGCTGTAGTGTTCATTTTGGTCTGCTGTTTTCCAACCTGTTGTTAGTTCACCTTTTTACTAGCAAGAATGTAGTAGGACCTCTTGTTCTCATTGTTAGGATTTAGTAGTAAGAATGTAGCATGTGCAAGTTAAAACATATGTTCTAGCTGGAATGCTGTCATATCTATGTTGAGAAGAGGGTAATAAGAAAGGGTATATATTTCAATGTGCTTTTAATCTTCTCAGATATCATAAGAAGAAAGAAAACAAATTGCCATGTCTCGTAACTTTATTTTAAACGTTAATTGCTTGAGTTACTCGTAAGTTATTTGTTGAATTACTTGCAAGTTATCTGCTTGCTCAAACTACAAAACAAAATAGCTCAGGCCAGAATTGGTACTCGAATACGCAAATAGCTGGATCTCAATGTATCTGGACAACAAAGTTATTTGATATTTTCAACTCATTCTCACCACCATATTGTGATGTTTCTTTTTTCTATTCAATGTTTAAACTCCGTATAAAAGTTTCGATTAAATTTGAAATATGTATTACAAAATTTAATTAAAAATAATGTTTTTAATAAAAAAATTTATACATTTAAAATTTAAACTCGAAACGGGTATTAAAAACTAATAGACGTTCGTGATGGTTAAAATATCAAAATAAAAATGCCATCCTATAACGGTCTACAGGAAGCACCTGTCATGTCCAGATACAGTGCTTCAAAATTTTCAGATTGGTGTCCCAGTGATCTGGCGGGACACGTGTCTCTTCCTCATCCATTTCCCCCCCTTATTTTTATGCTCTCTGTTTTCTCCTTTTCCCTCAACACTCTCTTCTCCATGAACTCCGACGTTACATGGCAAACACCTCCGTCATGCACGGCGGTCGAAGAATTTTCCGGCGAACCGGCAGAATTCGAGTTCGAAGCAGCGGAGGCATTAGCTTGTTTGTCGCATCCGGTGGATGAAGACGGTGCATCCGGTGAAACTGAACTCTGCGTAGACGCCGTCACCGATCGGGTATCCTATTAATTTTCTCACTGATACTAACAGTATATAACTTTGCCTATTAATTTTGCTTCAACGTCCGTGCTCAGCAGTTGAGGTACGAGCTCTGGACATCTGTAATTATGGCTGTTATACAATTTTAGGGTGTGTTGGGCACCAAGGAAAACAATTTTTAAAAATTAGTTGAGTTTCTTACTCATCTCCTCTTTTAATTATTTGATCTAAAAATATCTCATTTCTTTTTCAAGAGAGAAGTATTAAATTCGGCGTGATTCCTCAAATTATTGATAGCCTTAAAAATAGATTTTATTTAACTAATTAAATTTAAATATAGTTTTCGATCTTTCAGCATGACTAAAGTCTTAAAGATTGAAGATATACATAACGCAGAAGTTAGCGAAGCAAACTCGAAAGATTCTTATTTAAGAAAATAAATAAGAAATATATCAAAAGACATAAAAATTTAATGTTGTTAGATTAATCAGACATATATACTAGGAAGTTTACATAAATTCACACAAGTGATAACATAGACTACCTTATGAACGATGATTAGCTTCAAAGTCCTTAAGAATACACTGTGAATATTAATTAGGTTAAAAGGAACAAATTTATATTTATATAGTTTTAAATCTTATTCTATGAGAAAAATACTAGTCAATCTAAAACTTTTACTTAAACGGTAAATGGTAAAAAATTCAAGGCAATTAATACCCAATAAATCTTCTCTTGGCCTAAATTTCTGACAAAATAAATTTGTCCACCTTCTTCACAGTTTGCTTTTTCTCTTCCATCAAATTTATCTCTAACAAAAATCTCCATTACCGTAAGAAAATGTTGCTGCTAGAACTACACCTGTCAAGACGAACACCTTTTTCTAATCTGGTTCAATCATTGATTATCGAACCATTGAACATGACTCCATCATTTAACATAACTCTGATATCATTTGTAAACAGGTGTAACGCAAAAGCTACCAAAACAAACCTCGAAAGGCCATAAGTAAGAAGATAAATGAGAAACACACCAAAATATAGATTTAATGTTGTTCGGTCAATTGACCGAAGGAGATGTACAATCCACTATAAATATGAAAGTATATAAATATGAAAGTATAAATATAGAGAGAACATGTGAGTTTTACACAAATGGTAACGAATTAAACGTGTGTTCCACAAATTTTTCTCCTAAACAAAACTTTCAAAGTCGTTAAGACTACATTGTGAATTTTAATTATGTTAGAAGAAACAAACCTAAACCTTTTCCTAAAAAGAAAAATATATATATGGTAAAAAATTCAAGGTAAATAAAACCCAATATGAAAGTACATTTCTAATGGCATAATACATAAATGTGTCATTTAACTTGACTTCAAATTGCATATATGCCCTTCAACTTTGGATGTGCACATATTGTGCCGTGTAGGACTCATGTATTTATTTACTTAAAAGTTGGATAGTTAAAGTATCTCTTTTTGCATTATGAAAGTTGGAGGTTAAAGTTAAAATTTAAAACCAAAGTTTAGGATCTGTATTATGCATTTCTAAATTCTCTTTATTTTTTTAACACTTTTTTTTTGGTTGAGACTCTTTAATACTCCTAGACTATGTAGCAAATCAGGATGTATCCAAGTCAAATTAATCATCTAAAATGGTGTTTTAGAAATAAAATCAATAATTTGCTGTTCGTTTTCAAAACTTCTCTTTTTTCAAATAAAGATATTGTGTCATTTCTTTTTGAAGTCGATTCTTTTTCTAAGGAGAGAGATAAACATTTTTTATTAGAAAATGTTTATACTACATTGAGAAAATACAAATATTTTCTATTTTATTAGGAAAAAGAATTGGTTATCAAAATGAAATTAATGGATAAAACTATTAAGTAGAGCATTTTTTTTTGTTCAACGGAAGGCTACGAGTGAGGTGGATCTTAGGATGGACATGAGACAATTAATATGAAACGTAGTTTTCTTATTTCAAAATCTGTCATTAAAAAACTTTTAAAAATGTTTTCCTCCATACCAAACACACCACAACACTGTGATCCCCTTATGGGACGAGTCGAGTTAATTGAATTGAGAATTATCAGGAGAGGGGAAAAAGGAACACGAAACCACTCTCAATGGGTATTGTCTCTTTATGATCTCTAGGAAATGGACTCAACATATATAACAATTAGTTTCTTTATCATTTTTAGTTACTTAAGGGCGTACATTGTGAATTCTTTTGTTTCTTAGTTTAAGATATGACAGTCCGAGCTGAATTACTCTATTGCGGGTTTTCTCGGAATGTCTAGGAGGCACAGGTCAGTTTCCTCATTTGCTTTTTGATATGGACTTAATTTAGCTATTGACAGGAATTAATTTAACTTTCATTTACATATGTTCGTGTGTGCATCTTTTGGCGTAACTGGTTATTACCTTACCTCAGGACCAAATTGGTTATTGGGCAGTACTGCAAGTATTAGTAACAGGTGCCCCTGAAGCCATTCCTGTCAAAGTAGATATGATTTCTTTCGTAATTTATTGCCCGGTCTTTTGATAGAATTCCACGATTCTCTTGTTCATAACAGGAGCAACGAATAGACGTGAAGTTTGAAGATGAGAAAGAAGTAGCTACTCAGACTGGATATGAATCTGAACTCAAAACAAGCCTTGTATGTGATTTAAATTATCCACCACCAGTTACCAGAACATCGAGGCGTGAATTGACAGAGTTGCTAAAGATTTACAATTTCTTGTACTTTAATTTCATAGAATTTTTTTTACTGAAAGTATGTTCGCTCGTTAAGGCAGAGAAGGAAGAACGAAGGATGCGCCGTGTATTAGCTAACAGAGAATCTGCCAAGCGGACAATTCGTCGAAGACAGGTATGCTGGAATGCTCAACCACTTATCGAAGATTCCTTTTCATGGGTCTTAAGTATGTAGAAATTCTTTTGATTCCTTTTCATGGGTCTTAAGTATGTAGAAATTCTTTTTCATACTGATGAACATGTTATTAAGAATAGCAATTCGAATGAGTAGTACCAAAATGCTGGACTGGGAAAGTACTCCCGCTTTGTTCCTCGATCACGGTTGTACGTAGATGACAAATGGCGTATGTATATCCTCTATGATTGGTAACATTAACTGTAAACTGAGGTTATCATCGGGTGCAAACAAAAGTTTATTTTACAATGCAACAAAAATATACCCAGTGAAATCTCACTAACAGACCGTAGCATGTCAAAAATCTGACAGTTTTTCCTTAAAAGGCAATGCGAGAGGAAATGAGAAGAAAAGCAGATGATCTCGCACTGGAGAATGAAAATTTGAAGAAGGTACGTGCGATATCTTTACTCATATATTTATGCAATAATCTTTTCCATCTTTCTGCTGAGTGTCATTTCTGACGAATAGATTAAAGAACTTGCTGCTGCGGAATACAATTTCTTGAAGAACAAAAACGATAACTTGAGAATGCAGGTTAACTTTGGACTTTGCGCGTTACATGTTTGACATGGACAAAATTATGTATGCGTAAGATCGACTTGATTCATTGCAGATAGCTAAAAATGTGAAGGCTGAAGTAGAGGAAACATATGATGATTCCAAGTCTCCTCTCGTGGAAACTCATACTTCAACCACATCCACAACTTCCTTATATAACCAAATGCCTCTCATTTTGTCTTCCGCCCTCCCGTGTTTTGATGGTCTCTTATTACAACGCGGTGGTATGCATCATATTTCTAGCATTACACCACCGGTGCTTACCTCCCCCGGAGAAGGAACAACACCATCCGACAAATTAGAAAGCTCCGTGATGGTGATGATGAACAACAACGTCCCAGGAGGTACTCCTCTATATATAGTTCCCTTTCCTTGGCAGATGCAAAGTTATCCTTTTCATTCGTCGACAACCTCATATCCCGACGACGATAAACATAAGAATTCAACTCCTATACATGAAAGTTGAAACAAAAACTCCTCATTCAATAGATACTATGCCTACTCACTTCCTTCACAACATTGACAAGGTCAAACAACTAGCAGGGTTTCGTTCAACTTCAAGCCCTTTCGTATTACCACAAGCTATTGCTACACAAAATGAGATTATTCAACAAATTATGTTATGTACACCTGATTTCAAATCTGATGTTGGGCGCGTAGCAAGAGCCTCTGCAGATGATGCATTGTTAGAACATAGAACATGTAACTCGGAAGTTGAAGATGCTTATGAAATGAAAATACGTGTTTTGTTATCAGTTCGATTTCTTGCCAAGGACAAGATGAGAGTTGCAATTTTGAGTTTGGTATCAACAAGGTGTTACGGGATCCCACTTATTCGGTCGATTTTTATATCTTTTCGTTCGTTGTGAAATTTCTTTTTGGTTAATCGATGTGTGAAATTCTATATGTTTTTATATTTAGACCATCTTTGAATGGAATATATATCTTTACATTAGCACTAAAGATAGTCAAATCTTTACTGCTAATGTAAAGATCTGACTATCTTAATCTCATTACGTATAATTTTTGTATCCTACCTAATACTTGCATTAATTAACGGGACACGACATCTTTTTATTACAATAAAAAGTAAAATTTGAATCAATATTCATTGCACATCTTGTCGCTACATCAAATGATTTGTAAATCGAAATATTATGTCTTTATCTAGTGAACAAAGTCCATTGATTGGTTTAATTATTTGGTTGAATTTAATTATTTCTATATAAGGATAGTATTGAATATGATAAATTAATAATATTGATATAAGATTATATTTGTTCAAGATATTTTTTTTATGTATTATTTAATTGGGTGTATTAAAAATAATATAATTATTACATAATTTTCTATAAAAGATATTTTTTACAAATACGGAGAGGATGTCAAATACGTTGTGAATTTTCTTTCGAGGATTTTTAATTAACCATGTCAATACATGCACTAACTTTCATGCATTGCTGATTTTTTTTTATTAGTTATATGTAGCATAATATCAAATAAAAAGATCACTCGGTAGGACGATTAGAAAAAATAATATATATATATATATATATATATATATATATATATATATATATATATATTA